TAGCTTCACCGCTCTGGTTGTACCCGTGCTCCAGTCGCACCAAGGGCAGATACACAACGGATAGGTTCTCGTCCACCACCTAGACCACAGGGTCCGCCCCCAGTGACACACTTAGACTTGAGGGCCGCCACGGCCAAGCAGGTGCAGCAGCTCAGGTTTGTGGACTTTAAGCAGTGGTTCCCACCGAGGAGGGATGATAGAGCATCAGAGGGTTTCTACACATAACTTTAGGAGGATTTCTACAATGCTTACCTTAATAGTGGTGCTGTATTCAGATCTCAGAGGATGTGCCACATTGATTCTATAGTTGCAACAGCTAGAGAGTACATTCGCCAGTATCTATCTTATCTACCAGGGCTGACAGGTTTATTTGGATGCACAGGCTTGTATGTTCCATCTTGGGTCCGTCAGTTCTATGCTACTCTCTGGATTGACCCGCAGCACAGATATATACACTTTGCATTCAGAGGCGGAGATTACATGCTGATGAGCACTAGGGTCAGGGAGATTCTCAGGCTTTAGGAGCAGCCTATTCGGATACATGAGGTGTGCTATGGATAGACGATGCCTCCTAGACTCCCTCATGGTGGTTTGATACCTCCTACAGATCTAGTCCGCCATTGTTTCAAGGAGCCTTTTGGCGAGGGGTCGAGCAGGACTCCCGGTGATCTCACTCCCACAGCTAGAGTGTTGAATGTCATTATGAGGAGGACCCTGATTCCAAGGATGGGGTATCGCGAGGGCTTGACTCGCTTACAGCTATGGCTTTTCAACTCCCTGATGCAGCAGACTGTGTTTAACATTTGGGATATCCATCTATCAGAGATAGAGGACACTATTACTGAGGGATTCAGAGGTCATCGACAGTTGCCCTATGCCCATTGGATCACATTTCTTATTCACAGGGCAGTGACAGTGAGGCCGCCTGAGATGCTAGCTGAGTACAGTGGTGCCACCACAGAGTTCCCTACTTATAACCTGACTCAGATGATCCATCACAGCATGTCACAGGCACCTAGCTAGTCACGTCGTCGTCCCGATGTGCCAGAGTCTGTAGCCTAGCAGGATGATATTATCAGGGGTATTGCAGCTATAGAGGAGGAGGAGCTTGCTCAGCAGGAGGAGATGGTCGTGAGCGCCCCCAGTGACAGTTCTGATGATGACTACTAGCCCATTCCTCAGACGTCTCCACGACAACATGACCATGAGGCCGGCAGCTCTAGTTCAGCGCCACCTGCCCTGTAGACAGACCCCGCTCTCCTTGCTATACTTGAGCGGATGAGGTAGGACTAGGCACGCCAGGCTCAAGAGACAGCTGCTACATTTGCTCAGTTCTAGACTCGACAGGATGAGTTCCAGCGCCAGCAGCAGGCGATCCAGTAGTAGCAGCTAGTTATACATCAGCAGACGTAGGCTCTACAGCAGCAGCAACAGGTCCTCATGCAACAACAGCTACTTGGATTTATGTAGCATGTTATGACAGCTATTGGGGCTCTACCACCACAACCTTCACCCCAGCTTGGTCAGACTGCCACCACTTCTAAGACTCCAGCGTTACAGCCTAGTGGGCTTTAGAGTCAGGGACAGCCACCAGCACAGTTGCTTCATCGACAGAGCAGGTGTCCCAGTATTTTGCTATGTCAGTGCGAGCCCCGCAGTTCACACCATTTCGTACAGGCTTCACACCGGCTGAGACCTCCTCGCTTCTAGTGTCAGATACCACAGTGTCTAGGAGTCTTTGTGCTTCATTCAGTGAGTTGATAGAGATGCCTACTCCTCTATATCTATATGTCCTATGTCCTTCTACAGTTGCACCTATTACTGGAACTACAGAGACGCTCCCTTCCTCAGTGGCATCATTAGAGCCTACTATAGTCATACTAGCTCAGTCTATAGCAGCTCCAGTTCCTGATCCAACCCAGACTGCTACAACATCGTTTCTAGCTACAGAGGGTAAGACTGCTCAGAGCTTAGGGTCAGATGATGATAGCACCTAGTTTCAGCTTGCTCCTCGTATCTCAGCGCCCGGCTCGTCCACTGCTGCCCCGCCAACCGACCCTTAGGTTTTGGTGTTTGACGCCAAAGGGAAAGAGGGTTCGAGTATGTTAGATTTAGGGGGAACGATATATCCAGGGGAGCTTAGTTATTATATTATCTTATATATTATATTTGGAGTTTTTATGTGTGATACACTATTATGCATTTGTCGTGTGTTTACTTGTTATGCATTAAACTATATTTATGTGATAGTGATATCTACGTGATCGTGATATATGACATGTGTGCTCTCTACTTTAAATTATTTATATGTCATATCACTTGTGCTATGCTCATTTGCTTTTGCTTCCACGTTTTACTCTGATGCAAATGGGCTTTATTACTTGTACTCATGCTTATTTCATATTCTTTGAGTACATCATGTTGGCTTGGGTCATATAAGCTTGCCTAACTCTTTTGTTCTTATTGACAAAAGCTTATATGATCCAAGCAAGTTAAAAACCTCATCTCTTTCACATACTCGAGGTGATATTATCATCAATCACCAAAAAGGGAGAGATTGAAAGCATCTAGGCCCCTAGTTGGGTTTTGATGATGAATGATAACACGTGATTACTATGACTAACATGTGTTTTGTAGAGACAATTAAGTTAGGTCATGATAATAGAGATCAATTGGGCAATCATGGTGGTCATGCCCCTACGATAGGAATTGGTTCGGTTTTTAAAAGATGGACGACAAGGTTAAGGATGGACTAGTTCTAAGTGTCGATTGGAGTTGGAGAGACACTTAGAGTAGTTTAGGACTTTGTTTTTTCTTTGGCCATACTATTATGGGGGGTTTGGACGGGTAGCTTGACCTAGGTGAGTCTAGTGAGTTAGGTGTGGTGCACACTTGTTGGAACTAGCACTAGGTAGCTCCAAAATAGCCCTTAGATCCAATAGAGCAAACTTCATTCACATATGATCGAGAGTTGGAAGTGAATAGAGGGTCAAATACTGATCGGACGCTGGCTCCAGGTTGACCGGACGCTGGCGTAGAGTCCGGTCAGTTCATTTGACCAAGGTAAAATCGTCTGGTGCAACCGGACGCTAAGAGGTGAAGTGACCGGACGCTGAGGGCCAGCGTCCGGTCGATTCCAGTAAGGTTCCAGAGAGAGAAAATCATGACCAGACGCGTCCGGTCACACTGTAAACACTAGAGTTCGGAGAGTACTGACCGGAGTGTCCAGTCAACATGACTGGAGCGTCCGATCATCCCGCAGAGGCACATAACGGTTCGTTTTTCAGCCCATGTTATAAATACTCCCTCCACTCGTGTGTGGGGGTACTTTTGCTCATTCCAACAGCTGAGAAACACCTTAGAGAGTGCCAAGAAGAGCAAGGTCCTAGTGAGGTGATTGAGATTTAAGAATGCCAAAGAGAGCCCTCATTAGTGAGATCAAGAGTAGCAAAGTGTGCATGCACCCTTCTCATTAGGCTTGTCGTGGTCAAGTGAGAGTTCGTGCTTGTTACTCTTGGTGATCGCCATCACCTAGACGGCTTGGTGGTGATTGAGAGCTTGATAATCATCCAGAGAGCTTGTGGATGACCCAACTCAAGTTATGAGCGGTTGTGGGTGATTCACCGCGACGTAGTGTCGAAGAATCAACTCGTAGAGAGCACTTGATCCTTGCGCGGATAAGAGGGAGCTACACCCTTACACGGGTGCTCCAACGAGGACTAGTGGGGAGTGGCAACTCTTTGATACCTTGGCAAAACATCGCCGCGTTTTCTCTCCTCTCTTTTCTTTGAGCATTTACTTTGACCAATTCAATTATTGTCATTTACATTCATAGAATTGCCATGCTAGAGTAGGATTGGAACTTAGGTTGTTAAACTTTTGTGCATTAGTTCAATAGAAACACTTTCTAGGCACAAGGGGTTAATTGGGCTAATCGTATTACTTATTTATTGCGAAGAAATTTAGAATTAGCCCAATTCATCCCCCTCTCAGGCATCTTAATCATTTCAATTCTTTAGCATCCGAAAAACTAGCAGCAATGTTGTTTTAATTTGTCGCCGGTCTTAGAAAGATAATTTTTGATTCAACGTCTATAAAAAATTGACATTTTTTATTATTTTTTGGTGTTCTTTTATCATCTTTTTAAAAAGTCTAATCTTTTTATTATGTTTGATGCAAGAGCTAATAATTGCTAGCTAGTAAAAATTAACTAAAATTAGCTCTAGTACACCTCCAAACATATGGACTACTAGGTGGGCCAATTTTTTTGTCTAAGTCTTGAACTACTAACCTTGGAAGAATATTTTTCCTTTTTTTTGCGAAATATCAAAATAGGAAGTTCATTTAGCAAATTTCTAGACTTTTCTAATTTAAACTAATTTTTAATCAAGTAGGAATTAGTTCAGGGCTCTTGTGTTCTTGCCTCTACTTTAATGTGTAATTATGATTTTACTCTCGTTTTTTTAACTTTGTGATTTTGCCCTTAACTGTTCACAAGTCAACGCGATTTTACCCCTGGTTGACTAGGGGTAAAATCGCGTTGACTTATGAACAGTTAAAGACAAAATCATAAAGTTATAAAAATAAGAGCAAAATTATAATTGCACATATGTGTAAGGGGCGAGAACACTATTTTCCTAATTAGTTCTACCTCATCAAATCAAATAGTACTGTTTTCCTACGCGGAGTTGGGAGTAGCGACTAGCGACCATCGTGATCGTCCTCGTGGCGGCGGTGTGGTCACCGGTGCGCGCAGTTGGTGGTGGACTGGTGGTGGTGGTCTGGTGGAGTTGGAGTTGGAGACGGCAGTGGGCACACCAGCCGAGATAGGGGAAGACGTCGGCAGAAAAGCGCACTCCGATTGACCATTAAAAAAAACGAAGCGCGCTCACCGTACTCTCCAGTCCAGACGAACCACGGCCCCAGAAAAAAGAGGCGCCTTTCCTTTTCTTTTCTCCCACCCACCCGGATCCTCCGCGCGCGCCGCCAGGCCCGCCGCGATGGCCGCACTCCGCCTCCCCTCCCCGTCGGCGGCGAGGTTGTCCCACCTTCCAACCCTGGTGTCCGCCTCCGCCGCGGCGCGTCGGGTCTCGCCCTCGCCATCTCGCGGCGCGGCGGGCCAAGGGGAGGACACGCCGGAGCCGCCGGTAAGGACGCTGCTGATCGACAACTACGACAGCTACACCTACAACATCTTCCAGGAGCTGTCAGTCGTCAACGGCGGTGAGTATGAAAGCATCTCACCCTTCTTCGCGCCTGCCGCTGCGTCGCGTGAACGGCGGCGGCGTGCTCATTGCGCCTTCTCGGGCGGGCGGTGGAACTGACGGAAGCTCGTGACACCTCCGCAGTGCCGCCCGTGGTCGTGCGCAACGACGAGTGGACGTGGAGGGACGTCTTCAACCGGGTGTACAAGGACCGGGCCTTCGACAACATCGTCATCTCGCCTGGCCCTGGATCTCCGGCTTGCCCCGCCGACATAGGTGTGTGGGCAAACTTCGCCTTCAGCTTTGCCCTGTTCTACTTCAACTTGCTTATCTGATGCGTGTTTTTGTTTTCAGGTGTATGTCTGCGCATACTTTTGGAGTGTGGAGATGTACCCATCTTGGGTGTCTGCCTTGGCCACCAGGTGATATTCAAACCCAACTTTGTTTTTCAGTGTTATCCTTGTGAGTTTGTTTTGGATCACAAAGGAATTTGCATGGATCACGTGGCTGTAACTACTGAAATGCCGTTGTTGTTGTTGATGTTGTCTACATGTCTTTGACCATTGCAGGCCCTGGGATTTGTACATGGTGCTAAGATTGTTCATGCTCCAGAAGCTATACACGGGCGACTCAGGCAAGGCCTTGAATTCATGTTAATAAAATTTGCTGAGCACTGCTGCTGAATTCTTGCTATTCTTACAGTTTATGCATGATTTAACACTCCTCTTTGTTGTATCAGTGAGATTCAGCATGATGGATGCTACCTCTTTAATTGTGTTCCATCAGGTACAAACTCTGGCTTCAAGGTTAGTGTATCGCTTGTATTGCTAGTCCCATCCCTTGCCATTTGTGTTTCATTTCAGTCTTCACTTTCCATATGAACTGCTAAATGCTTTGAACTTGCTTTTGCTGTTTTCAGGTAGTGAGGTATCATTCACTTGTAATAGAATCTGGTTCTCTGCCTGATGATCTTACATCAATTATGTGGACTGCTTCTCCAAATTTGCTTTCTTACCTTGAAAGTGATCAAGCAATGTTAGTACCTTCTTGGGATCATTGGACAACAACTTTATGACAAACCCTCTAGAGTACAGTAACAATGGTGCGGAACTATCCAATACAGGACATGCTAGTGAGTCAGATGATAGCCGAGTTATCATGGGCATCAGGCACTCTAGCAGGCCTCATTATGGAGTGCAGGTATCCTAGTTTATCCCAGCGGTGATTTCTCTCTGTTGTAGTAAGCTGTTCTTACACATGATTGCCCTTTAACCCAGTTTCATCCAGAGAGCATTGCTACTCATCACGGAAGACAGATTTTCCGAAACTTTAAGAAGATAACAGGAGATTTTGGATTGTGCTCATCATGGCTTCAGGAAAGAAAGGTTCACAGTATTGGTAAACTGGAAAAATCTCAAGTACTGTGTATGATGAAGTAGTTGACACACTATCCTTTACACGCCATTTTAGCAGAGACTCCTGTTCTGCAGGTCAATTCTGCAAGCCATCGTGATTCTATCCCTAAGGACTTGTTGCGTACTGAAACAATGGAACTTTCGGAGCCTGTACTTGGAAAGAGAGGCATTGGGAAAAAGTGTTTACGATTACGATGGAAGAAGATTGAAAATTTCCTGTGTCCCACAGTTGGCTCTGAAGACATATTTGTGGTGCTTTTGGCCATCAAAGCGGTGAAGACACGTTTTGGTTGGATAGCTCATCAGTTGACCAGGTATGCAGTCAGCTTACTCTTAACTAATCACCAAAATCGAATAAAAAAAAGGAGAGGATATTATTTTCTCTTCAACTCTTGATCTACATGAATTGAGCTGCAATCACTGTCTCATTGAGTGATAAAGCTGGAAATTTGCTGAAACTTGTTTGGATTATGACTTTCTTTTCTTTCCTCATGGAGATAATGTATTCACTTTTGTGTGTTACATGATCTTTTCTGTCTTTGTTGTGATCGATTTCTGCTTGCAGAATAGGGCACGTTTTTCATTTATGGGTGGCAAAAGTGGGTCCCTGTGGAAGCAAATGACATTCCACCTATCTGGTCAAAGGTAAGAAGGAATCATGCTTTAGTGCATTAAGCATTATGTCTGCCAGCATGTGGTAGAGACCTTCATGTTATTCTGCATTTCACAAATTCTTCTCCAGAGCCAATTGTGGAGGAACGCTTATTACCCAAGATGCTTATGGTTATACTGCCAAAAACTTCATCAAAGAGGGCTTCTTGGAGTTCCTTAACAAGGTATATGTTTAAAGATTATTGATGCTTGTGATACCTATTTTAATCTTATTAATTTTGTGTGGTCATAACCTCGTGCCATTTCCCACTATCTCTGTGTTGTAGTCTCATAGTCTGAATAATTTACTCAAGCAGAAATGACTTCGTGTTCATTAATAGGTACAAGGAGCCCAGCTGTTACAATTAAATAATTAAATGGGGTGATTTTAGCATAGATTACCTACCACTATAGGAACTTTCTCAGCTCCTGCAGCAGTGAGGCACAAAATAATTTTGTTACTATGTTATGTAGTCAATTGGTAGTGAAGCCAGGGTTTTTGACTGGTTTTAGCCATGTCAAAAACAAAATCTGCTGGTCTGAGGTATCTCAGCATGAAGTATTGGTGGTTGCTGACATAATATTTGTATTCTGCATGTTAACATGATCATCCATACCTTAGGTTTATGAGTAAAGTGCAATATGCAGTAGATTGTGCCATGCATTTGTCTGAGTTTTGATTCTCACTGTTTCACACTTTGCAGGAGATCGAGTCCATTCAATACAATGAAAAGGATTACTAAGGACTGCCCTTTGAATTCCATGGTGGCTTCGTTGGATATCTAGGGTATGTTGATTGCTTGTCATGAATTGACACTTTTTTTTTAACTTATATATTATACACTTGTGGCAGTAGATTAGATATATGCATCGATTTTGCCTGCACTTGATTAGTTTCCTGCTACAAATAGATCTTCCATGCTACAAACAATTGTTTTCAATCTTTGACTTCCCCATTTCCGTAATTGTCTTGTGTGGATAATGGAGCCTTCTGTACTTCATTTAATTCTCTTTGTATTATCTATTTCTTTTGGATTTCTTTAAGATCCTTTTGAACTTTAGTTTTCATTGGATACCAGGTATGGTCTTAAAGTGGAGTGTGATGCATCATATAACAAGGCCAAATCAAGTACTCCTGATGCATGCTTGCCTTTGCTGATAACACTGTGGTGGTTGATCACAGTAATGGCGATGTGTATATTTTGTCACTGCATGATGAATTTTATTCTAGTAATGGAGATGGGATATGCAAAATTCAACACATACTTCATGGTTAGTGGAGACGGAGAAGAAGCTTCTCAGGTTGGGTGGTATGCCCCAGGATCACCAATCAATGGGAAGGCATATGCTAGATCATCCAGTGTGCATAAGCAGAGTTTTGTTGTAGAGAAATCAAAGGATCAGTATATTAGAGATGTTCAGAGTTGCTTGGATTATATCAGGGATGGAGAAAGCTATGAGTTGTGCTTAACTACTCAGATGAAGAGAAGAGTAGACTATATAAATGCGCCTCAAACTCTACCTTAAACTGAGAAAACAAAATCCAGCGCCTTATGCAGCCTGGCTTAACTTTTCCTCAGAAAACTTGAGCATATGTTGCTCTTCTCCAGAAAGGTTTCTACGACTGGACCGAGGTGGAGTTCTAGAAGCAAAACCAATCAAAGGTACTATAGCACGTGGCAGAACACCAGAGGAAGATGAATGCGACGCTTGCAGTTGAAATACAGGCAAGTACACCATATTCTTTTCTAGTTATATCTTGGCTCTACTACTCTTTATTCAGGAAATATTGAGCTTGGGATGCTGTTTCTGCCGCTTTCCTGATTTATTTTATTTGCTATTCTTAGTATTTTGAATTAAGTTTCTTCACAAATGGTCTTGTGGAAGAAGTTGGTAAAAATAACTGGATAAGTGTGTTAAGAAATCAAAAAATTTATATTGACATTCATGTTAAGCTTGGTTCAATAGTCTGTTGAAGCAATATGACTGTTGAAGCTAATTCAGTTTTGAGTTGACAGATCTATGATAAAAAAATTACATGTTGTATAACATTTACTGTAAGCATAAGTAATCTAGTTTTTTGTTGTTTGTCATTGGAGGTTTCTACAGTCACAACTATGTTCTTATCGATGTCTTCCTTTCCTGGTAGTTCAGTTTCATTGTTATCTAGATTTCTAAATGCTAATCCTGTTTCACAGTGCTCATATGCTACTGCTATATTTTCCATTTTGCATGTGCTCAACTTCACCAGTGAAAAAGATCAGGCTGAGAACTTGATGATTGTTGACCTCTTAAGAAATGATCTTGGCAAGGTTTGCAAACCAGGGAGTGTGCATGTCCCTCGTCTCATGGACGTAGAATCATATAAAACTGTCCACACCATGGTGAGTACCGTCCGTGGAACAAAGAAGTCAAATCTAAGCCCTGTTGATTGTGTGAAAGCAGCCTTTCCAGGTGGTTCAATGACTGGGGCCCCGAAAGTTAGATCAATGGAGATCCTTGATTCACTTGAAACTAGTCCAAGAGGTGTGTACTCAGGATCGATTGGGTTCTTTTCATATAACCACACATTCGATCTGAACATTGTGATTAGAACAGTTATCCTGCATGATGGAGAAGCCTCAGTAGGGGCAGGTGGGGCGATCGTAGCACTGTCAAACCCAGAAGCAGAATACAACGAAATGTTGCTTAAAGCAAAAGCACCAACAAAGGTGGTTGAGGATTTCATTGAAACAATTTACAGCTCGGATCGATCGGATTCGATGCAGACAACCATAAGCTAGATCAGATAGGCAAAGGGTCATTGTTTATTGAAACACAGAAGGCACTACAAGGGACTTCAGCAAACACCATGTATATGAGAAATTTGATCTCAGCAGTTGGTGCATACTAATGAACATTGGCAGTGGGGTGAGGCATATCTTCTTTGCAATGGCATGAACATTCCAATCCCTTTGCCAAAAGGAAATAAAAGAGATGCGAAGAGGATGTTGAAATCAGTCAGATTCATGGTGGCATATACAGTTTGGTGACATGGTGTCAACTATAGACTAATAAATCTACAAAAGGAAACTCTACCAGCTTACGATACCTCAAATCAATCATCCACAGTCCCCCTGAAGAATGCACACATGGTTTTTGGTTAATGCATTTCTTTCTGGGGAGTTGCATTCTGTAACTAAATCTACAAAACAACAGTAAGTGTGTGTGGCAGAAGTGAAAGAAATTGATATTGTTGTGTTGTACGGTTGTACCAAATTAACTATTCGTGAAATATTCCTTGTTGGGGGTGAATTTCACGTTTCATCGGCCATTTCCTGAGGCCTTGTTTGGATGTATGTGTGTTGGAGTGGATTGGAATAGAACTTAGTTTAATTCTACTTCAATCCACTTTAACATACGTGGATTCTGATGAATACATGCGCATCAAACAAGGCCTGAGTGAGTTTTCCAGCTTCTCAAACTCCATTGTACAATTCAATATGAATATTCTGTTGACGGGTATCTCTGTTCAGGATTCCGAGCTGTGGCTCAATCTGCCGTTGTTGTTGCTTCTGACAGTGACCTTCTTGAGTCCTGAGATGCATTTCTTTTGTTTAGTTTTGCATGTCTTGGATTTATTGCTAGTGAACCAAAAAAATGTTTCATGTCCAGAGACGTGCATTTATTTTGTTTATTAGTTTTGCATGTCTTCTTGGATTTATTGATAGTGAACCAAGAAAATGTTTTCATGTCCAGAGGCAGCACTCGGTTGGCTTATTAGAGTGAGCAGATGGCCTGAGCATAGCAAGCAACTGAACCCCATTTGGGGCTTGCTGAGCAGCGGTGGCAACCAGTGAAGAACACGTCAAAAGATGGCGTTTTCCAGCCGCGGCCAGTCGCCGGCCGGCAGGACCCCTGTCGTTTTGGTCTGGTTGATTCGGGTGCGTGGTTGACGGTATCTGATTGATTCGGAATCGGGTGCATGGTTGATGGAACAGCCGCGCACGTCGCGCCATTTCCGAGTTCGTAGTTGAATTAAAAAAGGAGAATCGGCCACGCGCGAGCCACGACTTGGCGTGCCATTTCTGAGTTCGTAGTTGAGAGAAGCGAGCGAGGCCAGGCAAACGGCCGCCGCCCCCGTAGACGCCGCCGCCGGCGATGGGCACGGTGTCGGTGCAGAAGCGGTGGCGGAAGGCGTGCGGCGCCATCAAGGACTCCGCCACCGTGGGGATCGCCAAGGTGAACAGCGGCGGCGGCCGCGAGCCAAAGGACCTCGACGTCGCCGTGGTCAAGGCCACCACCCACGTCGAGCAGCCGCCCAAGGAGCGCCACGTCGCCGGTGAGACTACTTGTCTCCTCCTCTTCTCCTCTCCCGCGATCGACCTCTCCAGTGAAAATTTAACTAACTGGTCGCCTGGTCGGCTGTCGCTGCAGCGATCTTCGCCGCCACGTCCTCCTCCCGCCCGCTCACCGACGTCTCCTACTGCGTCCACGCGCTCGCCAAGCGCCTCCAAGACGCGTAACTGGGTGGTACGTCCGCCATTGCTTCTTCCCCGATCGATCTTATGCACAAGGAAAATGGCAAAATATAATTATGAAAAAAAAAACTGGGCAGGTCGCTCTGAAGACGCTGATCGTGATCCACAGGACGCTGCGTGAAGGCGACGCGGCGTTCAGGGAGGAGCTGCTCGGCTACCGGCGCAACGGCCACGCCCTGCGGATGTCTAACTTCAAGGACGACTCCAGCCCACAAGGTTACATAAAACATCTCCACTGCAATCTGCATGCGTTTCTGCTCGTGAACTGCTTTGCTTCTTGACCTGACCCTGACCTCGTCTGCACTGTCTCTTGCAGCATGGGACTGCTCAGCGTGGGTGCGCACCTACGCGCGCTGTATCTCGAGGAGCGGCTCGAGTGCTTCAGAGTTCTGAGATACGATATCGAGTCCGAGCGACTGAGACCTGCAGAGGGAAACCCCAAGGTTTGTGACTTTGTGCAATTGCAACTGGTTTCAGAGTTTCAGTGACACAGTTTCTTCTTCTTTCTTACCGCCATCTGCTTAACTTTCAGGGGCAGAGCAGAACAAGGACCTTAGGCCAGGACGATCTCTTGGAGCAGCTTCCTGCACTGCAGCAGCTGCTCTTCCGGCTTGTCGGCTGTCAGGTAGAAGAGCATACAGCTCATGTGGAAATTTCCTTTGTTCTCCTCTCCTCCTCCTGTGTCAAGTACTAACCAGGCTAATCTTGCAAATTGCTGCATTGGTGTTTCTTGCAGCCTGAAGGGGCAGCTTTTGGAAACTACCTCATACAGTATGCCTTGGCTCTGGTATGTATAGTTTAACCTTAGTGCTGATTAGCATTGTTTAGCTAGCATCACTGGTCGAGATGACGACGAGAGATGAACTGCTCAGGCGCTGAAAGAAAGCTTCAAGATCTACTGTGCACTCAATGACGGAATCATTAACCTTGTGGATTTGGTACTTTGATGAACTTCCTTCCTCTCCTATGAGATGGCAGTGTACATCTTGGTTCTGTGACGGTTTTGGATTCTGATGTTTTTGCAGTTCTTTGATATGACAAAACTTGATGCTATCAAAGCTCTGGACATCTATAGAAGGACAGGAAATCTGGTGTGTATAAAGTCTCTAACTGCAGCATGACTAGATACTAGGAGTTTCATTTTGTGGAATTTTACAGCTATCTATGTGAACTAAATAAAAATAACATAACAGGCAAAGTCTCTTTCTGACTTCTACGAGGTCTGCAGAGGTCTGGAACTAGCCAGACACTTCCAGTTTCCAACTCTGAGAGAGGTCCTTGCACCACCAAATAGACTCCCCTATCTTCTTCATCCACCTTCATCTATTACACAGTTCTTATTACAGTAGGAAGCTCTGAACTCTGATGCCAAACACTTCGTTTTTCTGAATGACCTTCAGCCACCGCCATCATTTCTTGGAACAATGGAGGAGTACATCAGAGAAGCCCCTAGAACTGCATCTGTTCCAAATGAGACCATAGTGAGTTCCATTTTATTTTCCTTTGTGTCATTCACCTAATCTAAACTAAATACATATTCAGTCATCCTGTTCTCTGCCGTCAAACTGTAAAACTCCTCTACTCAACAGGAGTACCGGCAGCTAGATTTCGTAATTCGTTACCAGGAAGAACAAACCCCTGAACTGATGTTCGAGGCGTCTGAAGAAACTGTTGCAGAGGAAGTTCCTCCTGAGCATGAAGAACCTGCCTCCAGTTTGCAGATGATGACAGCGACGATGAGCCTGAAACTCCAACAACTGCTGATTTTACTGGTAACTCTTGTTAGCTCGTAATACTTCAGTTCAGCACCTATTTATTTGGAAAATAACAACAATAATGGTGGCCATATCCGTTGGGTCGGTGATGATCAGGGCCTGCATGAAGTAAACCCTGCTGCTGCTGCACTTGAAGAGAGCAACGCACTGGCTCTTGCCATAGTACCACCAGGCAAGCTTCAAGCACCAGTTTCGGCTCCCTGATTGCTGTCTTATGAATTCAACAGCCAATAACATGACATCAAATTCACGCAACATTGTGTTCATCTCCGATGTGCAGGTGGTTCCAACAACATCGTCTGCGATCGGCTTCGGTGAGACAATAACAGGATCGTCAGGCTGGGAGCCAGCTCTGGTCACTGGCACAGCCCAGCAGCAGCAGCAGCAACCAGGTGGCAGAGAGCAAGCTGGTAAAGAACATTGTAGCAGCATCCCTCTCTTCTTTCTTGCCAGCATCCCATTGTCTAAGCATCCACTGCCTCCCTTCGCCCCATTCACATCGTTGGCTCTTGTAATCTTGTAGGCTGGGGGTTTCGACGAGGCTGTTGCTGGATAGCTTGTACGAGGACGCCGAAAGGAGGCAGCAGGACAACCATGGATGCCGCCTATGAAACGGGCACCCCTCACGGCAGAACGAAGATCCGTTCGCCATGTCCAACAACGTCGCGCTGCCGACCGGCGTGCAGATGTCGGTGATGGCGCGGCAGCAGCAAAGCCATGTTTGGGATGCCGCAGCAGTTACAGTTTCAGCCTCAGTATGGCGCCGCTGCCGTCTCAGTTCAACCCTTTCGGCGACGCCTACTCCTGTTGCACTGTCATCCCAGGGTGCTCCTCTGCATGGAACCGGCGGCAGCTTGATCTGACAATTTGAATTGATCCAGTTCAGGTTGCGTGGACGACGGCGTCTCTCACAGCTGATGGAGATGGACTGTATGCTGATTGAGAGCCATATATGAACTGCATTCCTTTTTTTTTCGCCTGTGGTTAACTCACAGAGACATA